TTCGTTTTGACTGTGTTTTCTTGCTGTGACAAATTCTTGAGAAAATGAGTTTGTAAAAGGGAAGACTTACTTGAGGGAAGACTTACTTTGGTGTGTGGTGCCAGGCCTCAAGTCTACGACTGTTGGGCATCCTTGCTTTTAGTGTAGGTGAAAGTCATGGTGGAAGACACGGATCACTTCCTGGCAGCTGGCAAAGAGAGAGACCAGTGTCTCACTCTCGCCTGCAAGGACACATCCCTGAGGATCCAGGTGTCTTCTTCTGGGTCGACTTCCTAGAGGTTTTACCTCCTCATGATAGCACCCGAGTCTGTTGACCAAGCCTCGAGCACCCTGGCTTTAGGGGATCATGTACTAGCCAAACCACAGCGCCTCTTTTGTTGCATAGCCCCTCCTTTTCCCTGCCATGTTCCTTCCCTGTCCTTTTTTTTTTTTTTTTTTTTTTACATTATCTCAGGTTTCGATTACTTAGAATATTTTGTTGGGAGCCATCCACTAAATATATCTAGAAGAGTCAAGAGTTGGAAGACCAGCTAGAAACTAAACCCAGAGAGTAAGGAAAGGGCCATAAATCACTCACAAGAAAAATGTGGTAGAAACCTATACATTCAACATGCAGTTGGCCCCAATTTAAAAATGTTTGGAGTGGATTTCATATGGTGAGGCTTCAGAGACAGTGAAGTATTAATATGACTTTCCAGTCAACCAGTCATAAACTAAAGGGGGCATCATTGACCTTACATGGCCTAAAGTTCAAGCAGAAACTACAGAGCTACACACTAGCTACTGAATAGGAAGGTTATGGGTAACCCAGCGTGTCTGAGCCCCAGGCCTAGAGAGCCACTGCCAGTACCTTGGCCCTCAGTCAGATTCCTCAGGACTGTGGTCTGTCCCTGCCGCCTCACAGTTCCTCCTGGTACTGTTAGAAGGTGAAAGCTACCAGAAGCTTCTGCTCCGTGCATTCAAAAGATGGTAGTGTACCCCGTGACTCTGGATTCGTGGCTGCTATTCAAATTCAGTGGATTTTAAATGTCCAGGACACTCTTGTTGAAGTTCTGCTTGGACAGCCTCTGCGAGACTCAGAGAAGAGACGTTTCCTCCCCTTCTCCACCTCTTCCCATGCTTGTCCTCTGTACCTTGTACAAGAGATTTCCACAGTCTGTGGAAACACAATCAAAGTGATTGATGCTTTTCAGGAAGTTCATTTCCAACAAGCACTTTCCTTTGTGAATGTTTCTTCCCAGGCAGCATAGCAAAGTACTGCAGTCAGGAGCATTACCTGGTTGAAATCATGACTCTGGACTATGGAGCCAAAGTGTTGCTTACCTACTCTATGTCTCAGTGTCCTCGTTTTAAATCAATGCAATTAAATTTGCTGTGAGGGATGTCATGTGGAAGAACTGTGCTCCTTTTCTGGGCCCTTCTGGACTGTGGCACTCACTGAGCTTTGTCCTTTCCAGGCTCGCAAGGACTTTTGGGTTTCTTTTCCTATTCCTGCTGCACCTAGAATATATATTGAATGTGCATATATGTAGGCTAATGAGCGTTTGGCTGATCACGACCTGTTATTATTACTAGCAGTAGCGTTCTTGTTTGAGGCACCAAGGATAACTAGAAACGATGTTTGTTATGCACCCTCTACACGAACTTCATGCTAAAGTCACTGACAGCCTCATGGATATTATAGTCCTCTTTTGTATCTGGACACTACACTGTGGATAAATAAATTGTTCACAGTACTTGTCAAAGTTAGAAACTGGCCGTGCTGGGTCCCAGTCGGACTCTGAGACCTGCAGTTGCACCGTCCAGGCTGCAGTGCAGAACTTCTCTTCCAGATGCACGAGTCGCTCTGCTGCATTCTGCTGATGGTGAGAGCAGCTGCTCAGCCAGAGCTGTGGCAATAGTGACACCCCTGGCGCGTCAGAGCACGTGCAGGCCTTTGCGTGGGTGCTCAGCACATCGCCTGCCCGAGCCCATGTCCTTCGCATAGTATTCCCACAGAAGAGGAGCCTGCGGAGCAGCAGGCCACGGCTGCCGAGCGCTGGAGCTGTAACCAGAGCAGTGTCCAGTCCTTAATACCGTGCTGATTGCTGCCTCCTGGGAGTCCGTGTGGGGGCCCAGGGGCCTGGGGGTGAGGCAGGACAGTGCAGTGGCTGTGGAGACTCGCACCCTGGCCACCAGCTGTGTATCACCTGCGTGCGTGTGTGTGTGTGTGTGTGTGTGTGTGTGTGTGTGTTTTAGGGAAGGGTTTACAGGGTGTTCAGAGTCTCACTACTAGATTAGACTCATAGTGATCCACCTGTTTACAGCCTCCCAAGAGCAGGGATTACAGGCCCATGCCATACACCCAGTCTCAGTTACTATCTCAACCCACCCTGGGGGCTGTCCCAGCACAGCAGGCCTGAGGATCGAGCCCCCGGCCCCTGCACCTGCTGGTAGGCACTTTACTCCACTAAGCTTTTTGGCAAGCCCTTATCACCTCAATTTGTAATGGAAACTGCATATTTTCAAAATTTGAAAATAATGCTGAATACAGACTTGTGTGCTATGCCTGGGTGTGATGACCAAGTCTTGTCTTATTTTGTGGAAAGTAGTTTTGAATCTTCAGTAGAGATGATCTCAAGGGCTGTTTTTAAACTAGATCAAATATTGATTGAGCATTCTCACTGCCTCTAAGCAGAAGGATCAGAGTGAGGAGCACAGTTCTTGGGCACCACAGCCCTATGCCAAGAACATGGTCGAAAGAGAAAGGCACCCTTCTGTTGAACAGGAAGAGGCTGCACTCTTGTGATCACCTGCGGACGAGGGCTTTTCCTTATTATCGTGTCAGTTAAGACACCGGAGAGTTACATGTTCAGTGTCCTATTTTAATGTTTTGGAGATGTTCTTCCTCATTTATTTTGAAATAATGTACTTTTTTTTCTCTCACATTCATAAGTTGTTTGAATTGCTAAGGTCATTTAAGTAAATGCATAGCTGCTTGTTAATTTAACACATTCATTTTTCTGGGAAAGCTGTTGTGAAGGATAAACTATTATTTGCTTTTTATAATTAGATTTTACAAGCGTTTCAGTTTTGCAGTTTTAGGGCGAGACTGCATTAAACTCTGGAGGTGAGGTTGAGCTCCTAGTCCTTGTAGCTCTGTCCCGTTACGTAGTGGAGCCGTGCCCCTGCACACAATCTGCGTTGAAACCTCCACGCTGCCATGGTGATGGACACGAGCATTTGAACAATTAACAGTCACGAAGAACTAGCCTCGGTCAAAAGACTGGCATTCCTGTATAAAAATAAAACTCAAGCGAACCTTTACTTTTTGCTTGAAGCATGTCCTGGGGAACAGCCTTCCTACCAGCTTTATTTTAGCATAGATACCCAGATATAGATGTTTCTGTCAAAATTAAGTCACTGGTAACGGCATCTAAAGCACTGTCTCTTCCATTCCCTTCCTGATGAATGGAAACAGGCCTTCAGGGATGAGGCCATTTGGAGCAGGAAGCTGCCAAGGTGGATTTTTTTTTCTGGAACCACGGATTGAACTCAGGCCCTTGCGCTTGCCAGGGAAGCGCTTATTCTACTGAGCCATCTCCCCAGCCCCTGCCATGGCAGATTTTGTCTGTAAAACATTGGGACTTTTGCAGCAAGGATTAGTAAATCCATTTGGCCATAGTGGTAAAGCACAGGATTTTATACTTGTGCAACGACATATTTCATTTCCATCACATTAATAGGCACTCCATTTTACCTCCTGCTGTAGTGTAGGATCCTTGAGGGAAGGGACAAGCTCACACTTGTCTCTCCTGCCTGGCCTGGGAAACGTACCCTGTCTCTCTACAGGTGATGCTAGGTCAGGACACTCTGCAGCACACCCTGAAGGGAATGCAGTCACCAGTGAGTGGCCAGTTGAAGGAGGAAGGAGGCAAGTGTCCCTGAGCCTCCGCTTGCCCTGTCATTTCACATTTGACCTCCCAGGCAGGACAGGCACACTAGCCCATCACTCAGGACACATCTCAGACAGAGAACATAAGGGAGGTCATGCTTCTCTGGGCCATCGCTCACTTCTCGTTGCGGTGGGAATGAATCAAAGGAGAACACTCCTTTTTAGTACCTTCTTGTCCTTTTAAATTATTTGATTTTCCAAATAATTTGAAAAAATCAAATAATTATTTATTTGTATTGGACTATCCTCATGGGAGTGTAAAAATAAATAAAACATAGTTGTTATCCCCAAAAGGAGGTAAACAACTTCAATAAATGAAGTTGTGATATCCTGATTGGAAGAATTTGTGGCATGAGTCTGTAATTTGAGCTCTTGGGAAGCTGCAAACAGGCATTTCACTAAAAGTCCAATCTAGTAGTGAGACCCTGAACACCCTGTAGATGCTTCCCTAAAATAAAATTAAAAAAGCACTGATGTAAATTGGAAAATATGTTATCAATTTGTAATTTATCCTTCTAAGAAGTATAACTTTCCAATAAGATATAAGAAATTGGTAAGATTTGCAGAAGAAATCTCTTGCTAACTTCCGTTAACATGGTACTGATAAGTATTGACAGGCCAGGACAGAAACCAGAGATACTTTAATATAATCCAGTGCCTTATAACTAATACTTTTGTTGAGAGTTTTCATAGTCTCAATATCAGTGAGTTTATGCTCATTTCTAACTATGAAATTTAATACCCAAACACTAGCTCTGTGAATATCTCATGTTAAAAGTTACCTAGAAAGCAAAGCTAACTGGTGAATAATAGTATTTCCATTTTTCATATGCCAAAATATCCAGGAGTATTCAGTAATGTTTCTTAATGAGATTTTCCTTCAGGATAAATATTTTCCTGGAGGGATTCTCCAGTAATGGATATAGAAAAGAGTAGAGTGTGTCTGTTATTGGAGTCTTTGGATATCATTGGAATCAGATGTCGAAGCTCTGAGGCACTTCTACATCTTCCATACCATAAAAGTGCAACTGGCTACTAATAAAGAACTGCATATTATATTTTAACAAAAAAAGAAAGGAAAGAGTGCAAGGCAGGAGTTTGAGCAGAGCAGACCTCAGTGTCTGGTCATTGCTTTTCTTGGAGTGGAATCCAAGGCTTGAAGTGGAGACAGGGCTTTGGCACTTAGAAAATCCCTGAGGAAAAGTGACATTTTGCAAAGAAAAGAAAGGCTGTAGTGGAGGACTGAAAAGAGAGGCGATCCACTAGCCTCTGGTCATGGCATAGGGAACACGAAAGGGAGTAGTTTGGGGATACTAGCGGTCCTGTTATAATCTAGTCCAGAGTTTTCCTCAGCATGGTGGGGAAATATAAGGTCAACTCTAGAGGCCCCGAGGAGACAGGAAGAGGGGTGTCAAGCGTGTGAAAAGTCACGGCCAAGACAAGAAGAGAGGAGGGCTCATTGTAGTCACCGTGGGCGTGATTCTGTATTGAGCGTTAGATCAGCCTGTTTGTGGTCTTCTCTGGCAAGCTGTTTCATTCTTCTGTTGATTATCCAATTTTGTATACAAACCCAAAGGAGCTCATTCTCTGTGGACCTCATGAAACTTCCTCAGAAAGGTTTGCAGAGCGCAAAGCTTTTCATCACAGATAGAATCGACTCCACGTGCATCTTCCTCCTTTGTATCAAAGTGGCACGTAAGCGACTTCCCTGAAGGACTCGGTGCCAACGTTATGGATGGTTCCTGCACATAGATTGAGATGCACAGGTCAATGGTCGCAATCCTCCAGAGTCGCATGATTAATCCTCAACCCTCAGCACATAAAAATATGGGGCCACAGATAATAAAATGCACTTCAAATCCCAATGCCCCACAACCTTCTCCAAAAGGCATCAGTGGGAAAGAAATGAAAAACAAATAAAACTAAATTATATGAAGCTATATTCGGAAAAAGTAAAGAACCCATTAATAAGGTGCTGGGTGAGCTCAAAGATGGTATGGCCAGAGAACATATGGTGTTGGTCTGGTTATTGCTGGTTCCGATGATATGGGCCCTCACATTTTCCAGACCTGTCCATCTGCCAACTATTTTGACTGCAGAGCTATGTCTATTGGAGCCTGTTCTCAGTCAGCTCGTACTTACTTGGAGAGACATATGTCTGAATTTATGGAGTGCAATTTAAATGAACTGGTTAAACATGGCCTGCTTGCCTTAAGAGAGACACTTCCTGCAGAACAGCACCTGACGAATAAGAATGTTTCCATTGGAATTGTTGGTAAAGACTTGGAGTTCACAATCTATGATGATGGTGACGTGTCTCCATTCCTGGAAAGTCTTCAAGAAAGGCCCCAGAGAAAGTCACAGCCTGCGCAACCTGCGAATGAACCTGCAGAAAAAGCTGATGCACCAATGGAGCATTAATAAACCAGCCTCTGTGTGTAGCATCTACTATGGAGGAATGCAGGAACACATACTGATGACGGTAAACTATACTTTGAGCCAAAAGATGCAGGGTAAGGAGTGGTATGTTTTAGGAATCATCCAGATATGTTTTTTCCAACCAACCTCCCTGAAACCATAAAATGAGGTGCAGTTTTCTTTAAGGGGTTCTATATAATCATTTTCTAAAAAGTATAGGTATACCAATGTTTTTATATGAAGAAAATAGTGTCTTTGCAGTTTTAAAGACAACTGTGAAATAAAACTTTCAACTTCCAAAAAGAGAGACTGATCTCAGGAGGTATTCCTATGGTTCTTTCTTAGTTGATTGTAAAGATCGTAAGACTCTTCCTACAATCTTATTAGCATAACATTAACCCATAAACATTTTTAAAAAGATAGTTCATGCAGGTTATTTGATAATTTCTGCCAAATAATTACTGATAAAGAGGCAAGTAATTACCTGCATCCTGTAAACCTACCTGACAGCTCTTTCACCAAAACAGTGAAGGTAAGTCAGCCACAAGAGGAAAAATAGGAATCAAGTGTCAGTACACAGAGTTGCTGGGACATTAGTGGCAAAAACCAAGCAAGCAAATCAGTCTCAAATGTACTGGTAAAAAGTGTCATGTGAAATTCAATGTGTGCACTTCTTCTGTAGTCTGTGACTTCTCAGAAAGTAAGGAGAGCGACTCTTGTAATTAGCTTCCCTTTTCAGGACCTCCCAAGTCACTCGCACAGTGAATTTTATTCTTTCTTGCATGTGCACAGCTGCTGGGAGGACAGAGAAAGAATGAAAACACTGCACGCTTCCTTTCTTAGCAATATCCAAAGAGCCCTCCACGCTCCCAGTGGAAGTCCAGATACCATCACTTTCCCCTGCTCACTGTCAGAAAGGAATCATTTTCAGTAATGAAGGTTACTTTTGCAGCCCAAGAATGACCTGTGGTAGCAAAGGACTTCAATAAAAGAGTGGAGAGGAGGTTCTGAATGTAGTGGGGAAACATTTGAAAGAGTTAACTAAAATCTGGTTGGTGGGCAGGCCTATAATTCCATCCCTGAGAGGGGAGGCTGAGGCAGGAGGATCCTTGTGTGTTCCCGACCAGTCTGGGCTATAACATGAACACAAGGCCAGCTTGAACTGCAGAGCGAGACCCTGTCTCACAAAGAAGACAACAACAACAAAAACCCAGAAAACATTAACTGAGCATCCTGAGAATTAATGTAAACATATTAGCTGGAAAAAAAAGCCTGTGCTAAGAGAGAACATGAAACCAAAACAGTAAAATTGTGCACATTCTAAATAGAAGGTGCTTCTGAAAGGCCTGACCTGCAACACACTGACGAGAAAAAAAGGCATTGCTTTCTTCCGGTGTCTTCAATGGGCTTCCTGCTCAGGACAGAGGATTCCTACAACTCACAGCTGCCCTTCAGATGTGCCTGTGAAGACATGAGAACACATGGGCTTTGGGACCTCCTCGTGGCGGCCTGAGAGTGGTCTAAGTTGCACTTTGTAGCCCAGGCTGGTCTTGAATTCCCAAGGATTCCTCCTTCTCAGCATCCAGAGTACTGGGGTTACAGGCGTGTGCCACGGCACCCAGCTTCTCCCTCTTACTTTTATTCACAAAGTTTTAAATATGAATTTTTCAGTTCTTAAAGAGTCCACTGAGACGAATGAAACTCAGTTTCTGTGAAGAAGGTCAAAGCCTTGTAAGGCAGGTTGCATTTCCTACCTCAAAGTGTCTCATATGTACACCGTTTCACTGGTATTTCCATGGTAAGGAAGAACCTGGTAAACAGTAAGTCACATGTGAACGTGTCTAGGATTGCACAAGTCCTGTCCCACAGGATTTTCTGCAAATCTTCACTGTCCGTATATCAGTACACAGTAGACTGTCAGGAATGTCTGAAAAAGAAACTGAAATTCAGAAGCTAATCTACTGCACAAACTTGAGAAAATGGACTAATTTTCTACAACCTTACTGGAAAGGAGACTCCCCTCTTCCCAGAGTATTACCAACACTAAGCCCTGCAGTTTCCCTAGAAATCTCCTCAACAGAAGCACAACATCAACTATTATACTTCTGGGGGATAACAAGGGTGAATGATGTACTAAAAACCTATGATAACCCAAACCACATGGATGTGCCTTAAGGGTAGAGCAGTACTGGACCAAAGAGATAGAAGCCAGGGTATTGGGGCAGGAAGAGGTACACCCAGGTAGAAATGTACTAAAGCATAGAGGAATTTATGCTGAGCTGCCACATGCTAGGTCTTTTTCCAGTTTTATAAATACAACTACGTGCTCCTTCTTTCTTGTCTTTTTGAGACAGGGTCTCACTATGCAGTTCATTGAGAACTGGCCTTCAGCTTAATTTAAACCCAGGCTGGTCTCCACATTAACACAATCCCACTGCTTCTGAGTAGTGTGATTGCAGGTGTGTGCCTCCATGCCCCTCTCCTGTGGGTTTTGATGCCTGGGTTCTAGACTTGCAGGATCTCCTGCTTCTGGGGACTGTGCTCAGATTCAGGAGACAGGCACTCCTTCCCCTGCCCAGGCCTGGTGATGCCCTGCACGATCCTTCCTGCTGTCTAAGACTGAGATAACAAGGAGGTAAGGGAGCTGGCCACGTTGTACCTGAATGTCCTAGAGCAGAAGACGGCACTCAATGCTGGCTGCACCCTAAAGGTGATTCTGGTGGCATGTGTGACACATGCCTTCTCCATGAGCACACACATGCCTTCTCCATGAGCAGAGGAATGTGACACAGAGTCATCACTAAATTTCTGGCAGCCCATGATTTTGTGATGACCTTGGGCAATGCTGGGTCATGAGAGTGGAAATAGCTTAGTAAGTGAGAGCACTTGTTATTCATAAAAACTGTGTCTGTGTGTTTATTCACTAAGCAGAGGCTGAGAGGCTTAATGGATTCACTCCCCATCCACAGTGGCTGCTCTTGGCCTTATGCTTTCTTTTGCACTGTCTGGTGGTGATGTCTCATGCTGGCCTCGAGGTCTGACTGTGTCCGTCCCTGCGCTGGAGAGGGCTCTGCAGCAGTGTTCTCTCGAGCCATCAGAGAAGCCCTATGACCTCAAGTCTGTGCCCCTGGCTACCACACCCACGGCTGAGCAGAGACCAGGAGAGGCCAGAGTCCCTGGATGATGGCTTGGCTGCCAACCCTGGAGCTTCACCAAGGGTAAGTAGAGTCATCACTCTGGGGCGTTGGAATTTATACTATGTGAGTGCTGGGCCAGTGCCCCCGCTGCCTATTGCCAGAACTCTTGGTCCCTGTGCGCATCTGCTCCTGCATAAAGCACCCTTATCACAGCTGCCAGACAGCCTAGAAAGTGGCAGTCACCCGGCAGCAGATCTTCCAGGGTAAGAATGCCCTGAACCAGCCAGCAGGGTCAGTATGGGAACACGTATTGTCCAAGGAGTAACATGCTCATCTCATGGGCTGTGTGGGCTCAAGGGATTAACAGTAAACACTTGAAGCAGTTTCTGAGTCTCTCAGAAACTCAGGAGGCAGGAATATTAACAACGAGGTTGATGTCAGGGTGGTCTTTATGAGATTTGAGCTCTATAGTAATAGACTATTCCAAAAAAACATCCCAGGGACATAATATAGCTTACTGGCACAGGTGGGTGCTTGGCAAGCACAAGGTCTTGAGTTCAATTCCTGGCACAGAAATAAATGTAGGGACTAGACTAGGAGG